CATGAGATGCTACTCTTTATCATTTAATTTATAGGTTTCATTTATTAACATGATAAGTTGTTTCAACACTTTGGCTTCTTACTCCATATATTTCTTACTTTTGGATCGTATAACAATTATGTGTAATAGACTATAACCTATTTGAAGGTGCTAGAATCAAAACTTATGGCTCCAGCTTATAAACAAATTACTCCACCAAATGTGCTCAATCTCTTATAAAACATAAATATTTTACATTCAAGCATATCATTGTTTTATGCATGTATAGCTATAAAATATTATAGTTGTACACTTACAAATGTTTTCAAGATATTTGGTATCACCATAAGTATATCATGTCCATCTTGTGAGTTGCGTCAAGCTTAAATTTAAATATTTCCCCAATTGAATTTATTGTTTGAGGACTTAAATCCAAGGCCTCATACAAAGTGCCTAAAACTTTATCTTTAAAGATAAAAATCATTTAGCTATTACTGAACATTGTTAAGTGTATAATAGATGGTTGAGATGCAACAAACCAAGTTTAAATTTCTATTCTAATTACTTGGTGCATCTGAGAGGAATAGGAAGAACATTGAAGAAAAGACTAGCACACAAAAGTTATTTGAATATAGGTAGCACGGCGCATATAAACTACTGCTGGAAAGAAGATTGATTTTCCTTTTGCATACTTTTACATTCATTGAAAAGAACTTCCATAGTTCCATGATCTTCATAAACTAGCATAATGCTGAAAGCACCCTTGGAAAATCTAATTGGCTTTGATTTTCTAAGAATCACAGAACTTCTGCTTAACTTGCAGTAGCTTGTCATTTTTTTCCCAGACGAGACAATTTCAATATTTTGGTCATGTCTTTTGGTGCGAAACTAAAACTAAAAGTAGACATTAATTATGTAGAAACTAAACTTCATAATCTTTCCATTACTATGTGATTAATAAAAATCTAAATAACTGGCGTCAAAGCACAAATTTGTACCAATGCATAAGGAACTTCCCCAAACATGCCTTTTTTTCTTCTATTTTATACCAAATAGATTTGAAGAAAATGAATATTTCTATCAAACATTCTTCAGAATAATCTAGATTTCTGAAACGTAAAATAGAACCCTGGCTAGATGACAGTATGATGCAATTATTAAACCATACACAAAAAGCAGATGCTAAACCAGTGTACAGCTAGCTGAATCTCAAACCCATAAGCATAAAAGTATACCCCCTACAACCCCGTTCCCCCACCACCTTAATCATAAAATACTCCCATTCTCCCAAGCAACCAGATGAGTATATCATACCAGCTAACCAACGGAAAAACCTAAATAAATATTTTTAGGTGGGCATGTTATCCATCTTTATGAACAAACCAGAGACTCACCACGACGCCGCTGAGATCTCGAGACCATCCGATGAACCGAAGGAGAAAAAACCCCGGACATGGCCAATCTGCGTGTGCTCCTACAAATCCTGGCTCCACGGATTCCTGATCGCTGCTGTTCCTGAAACGTCAGGCTTGCAAAAATCAATCAAATAATTACAATAAACGCGTTCTTACATTACGAAATAGAAAAAACGAAAATAATACCTTGAATGAGAAAATATTAAGATATGACAAAAAGGAAGACGACGAAGACTCCGGGGGGTTCGAGCCCCTGAAGCAAGAAGGATGCAGCGCGACCAACTGCATCTCCCTCCTCTATTCACTTCTTCCCTTGACTGGATCGAATCAACGAAGCTTACTCGTTTCTGCAAGTTGGCGGTCGACCCGCCTTCGTCTTCGATGGATCACCGCCGGCCAAACGGATGTTTATTTCGATACAATTAGGGGTTTTTGGTAGAGGAGTGCTGAGCACGGCGACTATCGCCTTTCCGCACCACAGAAGTATGCCGCGGATATGAGTTGAGCTGCAGCAGATATCCTCTTAGATTTTAAAGACAACGCTAGGTCTCAATTCTCCAATTCTGGTCAGGTAGGCCTGCTAAAAATGTTGGGACGGTTTGGGTGGATTAAGATTTCGTTTGGGGCAAATTTTTTATTGATTTTCAAAATAAATTTTTATATAATTAAAAAATTATCACAAATGAAGCGTAAAATTTTATTTGCATGACTTTTTTACAATTTATTAAAGTAAATTTATAGTATAAAAATTTTAGGTTTAATATGGGACAGCTTTTTTATTGCTTCTTAAAATAGAGTTCTTAAGAAGCAATAAAAAAGTTGTCATAAACGAAGTCTTAGGCTTCGTTTGGGACGGCTTTTTTATTGCTTTCTAAAACAGAGTTTTAGTATAATTTTTTTTATTTTTAAACTAAAACTCCGTTTTAGAAAGCAATAAAAAAATTGCTTCTTAAAATAGAGTTCTTAAGAAGCAATAAAAAAGTTGTCATAAACGAAGTCTTAGGCTTCGTTTGGGACGGCTTTTTTATTGCTTTCTAAAACAGAGTTTTAGTATAATTTTTTTTATTTTTAAACTAAAACTCCGTTTTAGAAAGCAATAAAAAAGTTGTCATAAACGAACTCTCAGGCTTCGTTTGGGACGGCTTTTTTATTGCTTTCAAAAACCGAGTTTTAGTATAATTTTTTTTATTTTTAATAGATCAAAATTGAATAAGACACCCTATGAACTTCTTAAGGGTAGAACACCTAATATTTCACATTTATATATTTTTTGATGCAAGGTGTTCATTCACAATAATGGTAAAACTCTTTTAGGAAAATTTGAACCGAAAGCTAATGAAGAAATTTTTCTTAGATATTCCAGTGTTGGCAAATCCTATAGAGTTTTTAATAAGAGAACTTTAGTAGTTGAGGTGGCCACACATATTGTTTTCGATGAATTTAGCATTTCAGAAGAGCAAAGATTGTAAGAAGATCATATTAAAAATATCTCCCAAGGAATTAAAATGACAAATTTGGAAGAATATGTTGGAAAAGGAAACCCTTTGCATAGAGAATGAAGATTTTCTAAGAATCACCCTAAGGAATTGATTTTAGGTAAATCTAGTGAGGGTGTTAGGACAATGCATGAACTTAGCAAAGAAGTGATCAATTCTGCCTTTATATTGATGATTGAACCCACTAATATAAACTAAGAACTTTTGGATGAATTTTGGATTTTGATCATATAAGAGGAACTAAATCAATTTGTTAGAAATGATGTTTGAGAATTATTTGAAAGACCTAAGGATCAAAGTATTGTTGGAACTAAGTGAGTGTTCCAAAATAAAATGAATTATTTAGAAGTTATGATTTAAAATAAAGCAAGATTGGTGGCCAAGGGGTATAATCAAATAGAAGGGATTGATTTTGAAAAATGTTTTTCCCTTGTAGCCAAACTTGAAGCAATAAGGGTTTTGTTAGCCTTTTCCTAATTTAAAGGTTTTAAATTATATCAAATGAATGTTAAGAGTGTCTTTCAAAATGGGGTGACATAAGAGGATATTTATGTTGAGCAACCTTTAGGTTTTGATAATTCTAAATTCCATAATCGTATGTTTAAATTGAAAAATGCATTGTATGCACCAAAATAGGCACCTAGGACTTGGTATGATTGGTTAAGCACTTTCCTATTAGAGAGATCATTTGTGAAAGGAATTGTAGACACCACTCCCTTTTTGAAAAGGATAGGAGATGCAATACTCATTGTTCAAATATATGTTTATGATATCTTGTTTGGATCTACAAAAAAAATCTTTGTGATGATTTTAAAAATAATGAGTAGTGAATTTGAGATGAGTTTGATGGGAGATTTGAGTTATTTTCTTAGGTTTAGTACAAAGTAAAAAAAGGAAGGAACTAATCTTAGTCAGTCAAAGTATATTAAGGACATCCTTAGGAAATATAAAATTAATAATTCAAAACTAGTAACTACACCAATAAGTTTCTAAGTTTAGTTGGATAAGGACTCTAAGGAAGAATCTGTTGATCAAAAGAAATTTAGAAGTATAATTGGATCATTGCTTTACTTGACTGCTAGAAAACTAGATATAATATTTAGTGTTTGTTTGTGTGCTAAGTTTCAATCTGATCAAAAGAAATCACATTTGACAGTAGTTTAAAGAATTCTGAGATATATTTTGGGAACTAAAAACGTAGAGATTTGGTATCCTAAGCACATCTCTTCTTTTAAAATTATTGGATATTCAGATTAAGATTTTATAGGATATTAGGTTGATCATAAAAGTACATCTAGAACATGTCAATTCATTAAAAATTCTATAATTTCATGGTCTAGTAAAAAATATAATTCAGTAGCACTTTCTACTGCTAATGTAGAATACAATTCCTTAGGTAGATGTGTGGCATAAGTTCTTTGGTTAAAACAACAATTGATTAACTTAGGATTTTCTTTTGACACAATTTTGATTTTCTATGATAATACTAGTGTCATATGCATTTTAAAGAATCATATTGAATATTCTACCAAGCATATAGGCATAAGACATCACTTTATTAGAGATCATATAGCTAAGGAAGAAATTGAATTACATCACATTGCTACTAAGAATCGAATTACAGACATTTTCATAAAACCATTGGCTTTTGATATGTTTAGTACTTTAAGAACCAGAATAGGTATGATTGATCTTAATGATTAAATTGAAATTATGCAATCTTAATTTATTATGTTTTTATGTGTTTGTTTATTTTCTTAGGATGTTTGAGTGTTTTTCCTTTATTTATGTTTGTTTGTTTTTATTTTAGAATTTTATTGTTGGTCTTGTTTTTCAATTAACTATATGTCATTGGATTTAAGGTTGTTGCAACCCAGACCCCGAGTTTGAGATTTTGATGATGACAAATAATGTCGTTTGAATTATCTTGAGATTCATTGAATATTATTTGCTATTGTCCGTAAGTACTAACATTTCATGAAAGATCAAAAGCTACTCAGGACGACAGGAAGACTCAAGAATGGGTAGATTAGGAGTATGAGTCTGCAATGTATTTTGTTGTTTATTTTATTTTTATTTTCTTGAGTCTAGCCACAAAATGCATAAAAGGCTGAGCAACCATACACACACACAGGAGAGAGTGTTTTTAAATGAAAAATTTAGAGTTTTTCTTTCTCTGTAGATTGTACTGTACGATGTTATTTCGTACCGTACGATCAGAGCTTTGTAGGACGATTCTGTGAATAGATCGTACCGTACGAATGTAATTGTACTGTACGATATGCTCAAATCCAAAACCCTAGCCATCGTTTTAACTTAAGTAAGTTATTTTGCGCCGTTCATACGGTACGATTTATTTTAAATACTTAATTTAACCCGTTATTAGTGCAAGAAATTAGTGATTAGTGCAAGAAATTCGGGCTTAATTATAATTTGAACATCATACTGTACGAACCCGTTCGTACAATACGATGAACAGAGACGAATTATAATCGTCCCGAAGATCGTCCTAGACGATCTCTTGGGTTTTGTCTCATCGTACTATACGATGTACATCGTACCATACGATGAACAGAGATGATGTTTGATCGTCCCGACTATCATCCTATACGAACAGAATTGTTGTGGATTGTACCGTACGACTTAATATCGTACTGTACGAATGTTTTTGAACTGTTCGTACTACTTCGTACCAGGACGAAGTTTGTTTATACATATCGTACTGTACGATTAGAAATCGTACTGTACGATAGTAACAGCTACTTTTGAAATCTCATGGATTTTGGAGCCCTTTTTTATGTGTAAAACTTGTCATATTTTGATGGTGTGAATCAAAGAGGAGAACGTGCTTAGAGAGGGATTCCGAGGGAGAGAGCTCTTGAGAAGTTCTTTAGGGTTTGAGAGAGGAAGGAGAAGGTGAGTGTTGTGAGGGAGAAGAGGTGTGAGGAAGATCACACAGTTGCTCCGAACTTGCTGCATCTTGCTCCTCGTGTGGCCCTAGAAGAATTTGTGGGAGGATCTCTAAGGGGAAAGGCTCTTCTACATCCGTGACCTCGAGGTACTCTGCCTTCTCCATGAGGGAGAAAAATGAGAAGGTTCTCTGCCGTCGCCAGGAGGGTGAAAACAGAGTTTAGCACTCCGCCACGCCAGGTTGGTAAAAGGGAGTATTGTAAGGGCTTCTCCGCCTTGTTAAGGGGGGTAAAAAGAGAGCTATTGCTTGTAGTGAAATACTCGGAGCGGAGGACTCCGCGGAGTGGACGTAGGTCATGGTTTGACAGAACCACTATAAAAATCTCGATGTGCTTTTTTCTTATTGTCTTTTTATTATTACATGCATTTTATTTCATAATATTTGCTTGGGAAAATTTGGTTAAGAAAAGTTGTTTAAATCTTTTTTCCATGTTAAAATTTTAAAAGCATCAAAAAAATTAGAACTCCTGCTTAGGTTTTAATTATTGTCAAAAAATTTTTACAATTCACCCCCCTCTTGTTCATCTAGTAACTTCATCTTGTGCATCACCTTTATTGTTAAAAATATGAATTATCACACTCATTCTCCACTCATCTGGCATCTTTTTAGTCTTCAAAATAGTATTAAAAAGTTTAGTAAGCCATGAATTCCTTCATCTCCTAAGCATTTCCACACCTCTATTGGAATATCATCAGGTCCAATATCTTTTCCACCCTTCATTTTCTTTAAAGCCTCTCTAACTTCAGTTCTGATCAAGCAAATTTCTCGGATACATCATTTATGTTTCTATTTTCGAACATTAAAACTTTTGTCATCCTAAAATATATGTTAAGCTTTTGAAAAGAAATTATAGCATAAAATCATAACTTAAAAAAAAAAAAAACAAATGAGATGTTATCGCTAGGTAGATGTGAATTAGGGGTGTCAATTAATATTTGACACGACCAGAAAACCCAACTCGAGCTCGACCAGAAAATTTCAGGTTAGGTCAACATAGACCCAAAACAGGTCGAGTTCGGGTTCAACAATTTGACCCATTTCAAAAATCGGGTCGGGTTCGAGTTGACCATTTGTCTCGAAATTGATTTGTTTTGACCTGAAACCCCATTTTGACCCCAAAAAAGGTTAGGTTCTAGTCCGAAAAACTGACCCATTTGCAAAAACGGGTTGATTTCGGGTTGATCCAAATAGTGCCAGGTTAGTTTCAGGTTCGACCCGAACCCAACCTATGACCCGAAATTGACACCCCTCTAATGTCAACATGTACCTCCCCTCAGATATGTCAATCACTAAAATCTTTTTAATTATAATTTTAACTATTGATAAAGTCGTTGCATCAATTGAAGTAAAAATATTTAAAAATGGTACTCTAAATTCTTCAATTATGCTTGAATTTAATCATAGAGGAACCATTAGGATCTAAAAGCACCAAAATTAAGATCAAAATTTTGAAAAATGATTCCAAAGACCCCTAAAATGTCATAATAGACTTGTTTGGGCTTGAACCCAATAAGATCAGCTAGGCAAGTAGACCATGACCAACAATGCTGGGACTATGACACCTCTTAAAGGCCTCTTTTATTTTGAAAATTTCTCTCCATCTATTAATCTTTTTTTTTTCTTATTCATTTATTTATTTTATAACTTCTCTCCTCTCTCCTCTTCAAATATGAATATTCCCTCACAAAAGGAGGGAAATGCACTTATTATAAACTATAATTTTTTTAAGAGAGATTTATATCTATTATATAAGTAGTGTACAACTCCCCCTTCACAGGCTTTAGTAAAATGCTTCACTGGATAAGTTAGAACATTCTAGTTTTACACATACATCTTCTATGATGTCATGCAACATATATACATCGACTTATATAGCACTTGCATTTATATGTTCGGAATATTATGATTTTATTTAATATCATACCTAAAAATATAACATTAGCATAACTATGCCAAAAAATATTATGGACTATGAAACATGAACACTTGATAACGCAATAAATATGATAAATAACTATGATCGTTTGATTATGTGTTGCAAGCATAGTAAAAAATAAGTTATTGATGAGCACAACCAAAGCCAAGATCATTGATGAATGAGAAAATATAGCATACACCCATTAACAAAACACAAAGACCGATGTGCTTTCTAAGGCACCTCAAATCTAACAAGTCCAAGATATGAAAAAAACACAGCCAACAATAGTTATTTAAGTTTTGTTTGTGATAACTTTCTTACTGTTTTTTAAAATAACTTTTCAGAATAAAAAATTAATTTTTATACTAAAAAGGTGATTTAAGAAGTGGTAAGAAAGTCATCCCAAACAAAGCCTTAAAAAGAAGAAAAATAAACTATTTACAACACTCAGAATTAGAAGACATCAAAATCTAAGCAAGGTAGACAAGATGCCAGCTTAGCCCCATTAGAGTGAGCACATTCAGAAAGGACGAGTATTTGTTGAGACTCTTTAGCCTCTTCCTCAATTCAATCATTCGGCCCTTGGCCACCTCCTTCCTTGTGGCTAAAGCATCAGCAACTGGCGTGTTGGTTGGCTCAGTAGAGACATCAGCAACATCCATCCCTCTTCCTTCTTCCTTCTCCAACTTCATCCTCTCAAACATAGCCTACAAAATTTGACGAACATACATATGTAAAATCATTACCCGAACAAATTTATTTTTCAATATGATCTTACAATTTTAGCTCTAAAATGAACCACACCACAGACATATTTAGAGGAAATTATTATATGCAAATTACATGTGTAGATCTATGTGCATAACTGATCAATATAACATATATTTGATGTATAATAGAGTTGTACACCCTATGTACAAATCAAATAATGTGCACAGGGTGTGCACATTAAATACCACGTATACATACGATTCTATGCACATGAATAACTTTCTACTGCTTTTTTAAAATAATTTTTTAGTTCAAAATTTTAAAATTCTAAAAAATTTTGTACTAAAAAGCTGCTTTAGAAAATAGTGAAAAAAAAAACCTTTAAAAACCAGTAAGAAAGGACACCTTACATAACTTTCAGCACATTCCTATCATTATCAAGCCAGCTTTGTAAACTTGTAATCATAGCAACATTTAATTAAATTAAAAATTCATTAAAAATAATGGTAAAGGTATTTAAATTTGAAGTCTGCACAATTAAAATAATAAAACAAGACAAATAAAGAAGATTTATCTAAGGTGATCTTCTCTGTTGGTGGGAATTTAATTTTCCAATCAAGAAATTATGAATTCAAGCAGGCCTTAACACATGCAGTTCATAGTTAAATTCCCTCAAACTTTTATAAAAAAAGGCTCTATGATCCGATTGTTAGACCTTAGCTCCATATGGGGCTGTTTGGTAGCAGGTTTTAGGACGAAGTTTAGGCGCGTCTGAGCGAAATCTAGCCAAACGATCTAAAATATAAAACCAAATCTCACGGCAAATGAAAGCCGCTGTAAATGGAAAATTCCACCTTTTCATGCTAAATCCAGGTTTTCAGAAATCCTGTTTTTTGCCGGATTTAAGAAATTAATTCATTGGCTCGAGATGAAGAGTCTACTCGTTAAATCCACTCTATAGTCAAACAATTAGACTGAATTTAATAGGATTTATCATGAATGTTACCAAACAGTTTTAAGGATTTGCCCCTCAGAATTTCCAAAATCTGAATTTAGCGGATTTACGGATTTACGGATTTACGAAATCCTACTTAAATAAAAAACCTGGGTGCTATCAAACAACCCTTGTATATAACTGAAGGAGCAACATTTGTGACAAAATATGAGAATATTTCGGAATAATTGAGCAAACCTTGGTAGCTTTAGGCTCCAGCCAGATCAGATTCAGCAACACAAGCGCCAGCATCGCCATCAAATTATACCGCTGCACGCTCTCCTTCCCATTCAGAATATGACCCGCGAGCGCAACACCAACGGCTACAGCCAAAAACCGGAAATAAACCGGATAAATCCGGCTCTGCACGATCCCAAGTTGCTGCCGTGGCAGTGCAGACGCCAGCACGTGATTTGACGCGAACGTCACCCACATACACGTGCCATACGCCGTTGCAAACCCTAGCAAGTGGGCAACCGCGGCAGCAGACCGCGCGGCCTCGGCTGCCCCCGCGCTCACAAACGCTCCCACGTCTTGGCCAAGCTCCCAAGCTCGCTGAAGGATTTCGGTCAGGTTCCGCAGGATCTCCCTTATCGCCGCAGCCGCCATGTTAGAAATATTGCCGGCGACGCCCTCGCTGGCCGCTTCCGCGGTCTCCGAAGCGTTCTTCGCGGCTTTGCCGGCGGATTCATGGAACTGGGCGGCCGTTTGCTTGGTTTTTTCGGCGGCGTTTTTAAGAGCAGCGGAGGAAGAGTCTTCGATTTTGGAGGCTTTTTGCTTGACCTCGTCGGCGGCGGATTTAAGGCGGTCGGAGACAGATTCTTCGATTTGAGCGGCTTTATGAGTGAGCCTCTCGGCCACGGATTTAAGAGCATCGGCGGTCGATTTTTCAAACTGGCTAGCCTTATTTTTAGCATCTGTGAAGACAGAAGAAATTTTTGCCTTTGGAGTTTGAGACACGGATTGGCCGACATTGGGCTGGACGGAAGCGGCGTCGAGGGGCTCATCGTTAGCTTCGCTAGCGCTTGGTGCGAAGGAGGAGGATTGTGGGATCTGGCGGTCGAACTCCACGACAATGAGGCGGTGACCTTCGCGGAGGACGTGGTGGTCCTGGCCGGGGACGGGAGGAGAAGAGAAGAAAGAAGCGGCAGCGATGGAAGAGAGGATGAAAGCGATGGCGACGATGTTCATCATCTTAGCGAGAAGAGGAGTTCGGTGATGGAAATTTGATCAGAGGAAAACGATCGAGTTGCTGGTGTGAGTAATGGGGATCATTTGTAATTCGTTCAGCGGTTGTGGGATTAGAACAGTGAGTCGCTGAAGAGCGGGAAGACACGTGCGCTGGCGGGAGATTAAAAATGGACACGTGTAGGACGTGGGCAGTTAGATGGAGCGGTTCTAATGAGAAAATACAGGCAGATCCTAGAAAGTTCTTTTCGTTTTTTTTTTTTATTGTGTTGAAAGGATTTTTTTTTTCTTTTCTAGTTCTGTATGGATCTTTCTACTAATTTTACTTTATTAAATTAGTTATGGATCCGAGTTCTTCATCTGGAAAGTCTCGATCTTACATGAAAACTTTTAATGGATTATTCACTTCTCGTCAATTCCCATCCAAACATTTTTTTTTGTTTGATTTGTTCCTTCTACAAATGATATTGCTCGTTCTTTTGAAGGAGATGTTTCGCCTGCCTCTGAAAAATGGTGAATGACATTTGTGGGCTATTCTTTGGGTAGGAGATCTAGGGGGGTCAAAACTGGGTCACAGGTTTGATTCGAACCCTGAACTGACCCGGGTTCAAACGGATCGACCCTAACCCCACCCGGGTAGGTAAACGGGTTGAAAATTCGAACCCGGACCAGACCCGGCGGGTTGCTTGGTTGACCCGACCTGACACGAGAAGCAGACGCAGGGTGCGCGCGAGTTGGACTCGGGTGCGCGCGGGCTAAACGCGGTGCGCGCCTGATCGGGCAGTTGGGCAGGCAAGAGCGCACGCGGGCTGTCTCGGCGAGCGCGTGGGCATGCGCTAGCGCACGTGGGCGGAATCTTATTTTGCTTGTGTCAAGTTAAGGATTTTTTTGATGAAATTTTCTTATTATGAGTATTATGTTTTAGTTTGGTAGGAGGTGCTTGAAAGTTCGAGAAGGTTGTTAAATCATAAGGAACTAGCCCTAAAGCATACTAAGATGAAAGCAATACTATCACTTGATGCAGAAGCTAATACACTTATTAAAATTTACAAAGATGATGATAATAGTCTAATCAATACAATATAATATCAATCATATATTATCAACTAAACAGTTATATCATTAAATAAAATGTCAAAAAATAAAGCGCATAAAGTAAAATTTGAATGATCACACCATATGTAAGTTGTTTAATCAAATCATGACATACATCCACTCCCTAGAGTCCTCTATGAGTAATTCACAACTAATATAGTGTATCGCATCTAGCCCCCAACTAGATGAAGAATCCCTTATAAACTCTCTTCCATCAATTTGGTGTGGCAGAGAATCGTACTCCTTTCACAGGCAGAGAACATTGACTCCTTTTCACCCGCCTGGTGAGGTAAAGAACATGGACTCCTTTTCACCCTCATGGTGAGACAGAGAACCTTGAATCACTTTTTTCTTCCCTGGTGCAGCGGAGTAGCGGATCTTTTGACACCAAAGAGGTCTTCTTCCCAAAGCTTCTCTCAAGACAAACCTTGACTCTTGGAGGAACTCGGGTGCAAATTCGCTAGAGCAACTGTGTAAAAACCCCCTCTCACACTCCCTTGAAGTCCATAAGAATCATCTCCCTCTCTTATAAACTTCACACTTTCTCTCCCTAGCCCAATGCTCTCTATTCAAGTTTTCTCAAAAAAAAAAAAAAAAAAAAAAAAAAAAACTCAATGAATGCTCAAAAGTCTATTATAAAGTCTTATGAGAAAACTTAAATAGAGGGTTTCAAAAAATCATAAAAATTTAAATCATTCATCAAAGGTACGATGTGTAGAATTTAACCTGTTAGTACTGTATGATAACCAGTTAGTATAATACGAATAGTTTAAATTTGTCTGTTTGTGCTGTACGATCATCAGTATGAATGATCGATCATATAGTACGATTAGTTCAACCGAAATGTAGTTCATCCAGGACGAATCATGGGATGACCAAATGTGATGTAGTGGATCGTCGGAAGATGATACCTACAAGAAGGATTTTAGGATTTTCCCAATCCAGGGAAGAAGAACAAGAAGCTTTCAAAGCTTTCTAATGGAGATAATATCATTCAATGGCTTCCCTATTACAAAACCTGTTATTTATAAAGCAAATAGAGCATTCTAGAAGATAAAATTAACAAACTAGATAAGGTGTTCCTAAGGAGAACAATTCTATCTTAAAATGCACCGCATTATTCTCCCCTTGCCTAAAAAGAGCTCGACTCCGTTCGAGGCTCGCTAATTAGAAGGGAGGTAAGGTGGCAAACAAATTCCTGGATCGAAGACTTTGTTCTCAATATTTTCCTCCTCTTCATCTATATTGCACTTGACAACTTGTACAAAGCCTTATGACGTCCTAAAGTGCTTGAGATGGATGATCAAATGTGATGGCTTACTAGGACTTGCTTTGGCTAATTCTAGTGCCAGAAGCTCTTCACAAGGCACATCCCAACCAATCTTTGAGGGTTTTCTATCCAATTTGTCAAGTGACAAAGGCTGAAGTAGCATGACACGCTTGCTTGTTACCAGAACAATCCTTTGGTATGACACAATGAAATGATCATCACAAAAATTAGACCAAGCATATTTTGAAGGTTCTTTGAATAGATCAGTACAACTCAGGTGTCTCCTGTGTAAGTCATTCTCACAACCAACTTCTGATGCTTTTTCTAGTACAAAACCTACTAGGCAAAACTGATATGGTGGATTAGTTTCAACATATGGAAATACAACTCCAAGCTTCTTTTTTTCATTTCATCAAATACTTTGCTGGTACTTTTGATGTCACCACATCTAGCATTCATGTTCACTAAACCATTGGAAACATAAACAAATGGATCCAAGCCATGAGGAATGGCACATTCTTGAACCATTAATTCATTTCTGAGGACTGTCAATATGGCATAAGCATGAAGGTCTGCACTTAGTGCGGACGAATTAGATAACTACAGGCTTCTCTGCATGAGAGATGGAGGAAATCCAGCAAGAGCTTGAGGGAATTTGGATGCATTGGAGCTTCCAAGAATTGGTATTCCAAATTGTTGTTGTTGTTGAAGCAATGCAACAAGATATGCTTTATGGATGCCAAGTGAATCCCCATATGAATTGCCCATGAAGTTTCTCTTTAACGAAAGATCATTAAAATTAGTCGAATCAAGCAATTTATCTGTAAAGAATTTGGGAATGCGGCGGGTTCTGAAATCATCATCGACAATACGCCGAGCAGCTTGTGAGCAGTGCGTTGGATCCACCTTTTTAGTAGAATTTAAACAGGGTATTTTCACACATGTAGTAACATTGCAGTTATCCTTCAGCTCAATTTTCTCACCTCCATTGGTGTGACAGAGGAAGTCGGCCTCGGGCTGAAAGTCGGCGTCGAAGATGGCGTCGAAATCACAGTTACTAACGTAGCTATGCTTCATCCCCTCCTTCAACGCTCCGGCTTTGTATCCGTTCTTGTTGGCCCTTATCTCGTACCTTATATTGATCCCCTTGCTCGCCCATCTCTCGCATTCCATCACCACCAAATCCTTGATGATGTGGTCAGTGGAATCATTGAGCAACTAGATGATAATCCGATCGGACAGCCAGGAGAGCCCGCGTGCAGCTCCAATGGAGGGCTTGTAGACCTCCTTCTTGTTGAACATGGGGATTTGAACGAGGACCATGGGGAATGCAGAGTTGTAGAGCTTCTCGTTGAACATGGGGATTTGAACGAGGACGAAACGGGCGACTTCGGGGCTTGCCAGCATAGCGTAGGGGTAGCCAAGAAGGTGCGTTTTGAATATCTCAACGTGCCTGGTCATCACACTGGTCGGTGGCATTGCAGCAGGTTTCAACTCCCCGCCGTTGCCGCCGGTGCAAGTCGACGTGTCCGCCATCGCGCTGCCACTGACATCCTCGAACCTGCCCTCAATGAAGGCAAGATCATCTTCTTTCGGATCATGGGGCGATTCGACATATCGCCTGCATCAATAACCAACTTAACTTCGCTGGGAAGGAACTTCATTGCCTCTTCTACTCCTTTTTCAAACTGGGATGCAGGGAGATTTTTGTAGAGCATATCCGAGAAATCATCTGCATTACCTTCAAGGAAACTAGCAACACTATATTCTGAGCTGATTGAAGTCTGGTAAGAGTAGATCCGAGAGTGGGGGAGCTCAGTGGATTCTGGATAAGCCAGATCTTGAATGTTGTCTGCAAAACCATTGACGCCGGTGATGTCGCTGCTGTGGTCAGATGGAATCGAAGTATCAGCTGTATGTGTTGGATCTAGTATCTGCGAGTCCAACGGAATGGAATACTGGCGCTCTAGGCGTGTTTCGATGAGCTGAGCAGCGGTGGAATCAGCATCTGTCTCCCAATCCAGCAAGTCCGAACTGGAATCTTCGTCATCGTTCATATCCCCATTCGAAACTATATGGGCTTCCGATTGCTCCATGTCATCTTTGAAACTGCACTTGCTGTCGGAAGCAAACGGCGGCACCGGAGGAGGTTTGGGAACACGAGTCCGGCATTGAAGCGGAGGAGGATCACGCCATTTGAGCGGAAGCTCGAGCGGGGGATTTATAAAGCAAAAAGAGCATTCTAGAAGATAAAATTAACAAACTAGATAAGGTGTTCCTAAGGAGAATAATTCTATCTTAAAATGCACCGCATCAAAATGTCATCTCTATTGATCATACTGTGCGATCCAGTTAGTACAGTATAATCAAAATATAAAAATTAAGCAGATTCGATTGATTAATTACATGATTAAATTAGGTAATATTTTAAACATCATACAATACAACTAAGTTCGTATAGTACGAATAGAACAAAATTTTAAATTCAAAATTTTACCTAATTTAATAAACGACGGGGTTCTAATTATAACAGATCGTTCAGTATGATGTGGTGTTTATACTGCACAAATAATTATATTTTAAAATTATTTTTTTGAGAAAAAATAAAATATTTTAATTAATTTCTATAACACCATATGGTATAGTACGATATATAAAAAAAATAAAATATTTAAAATTATTTTTGCTCCCCCTGTGTGCGTACACAGTCATCAGGTTAGCATATATCCTTATAAGACTTAACTTAGGAAATTAAAAATAAAAAATACAAACTCTTTCAGCATAACCTATTATACCCCATCTTGAGCTCTGAATCTTCAAATAATGATGTATGTTGTACCTGAAATATTAGTTAACAAACAAATAAATATGCACTAAAATACTAGGAGAAATAAATCGGTAATTAATAATATTTTTTATCATCAAAATCATAAACTCGGGAGCCCAAGTTGCAACATACCTTGATTTTTTTTTTTTTGTAAACCTTTTATTATTCAGAGATGGTCTCCCTTATTTTAACAAAAATA